GGGGGGGGGGGGGGGGGAACATGCCTGTGCGATATGTGCGCGTACTTGCCGTCCCCCCCCCCCGGCTGGGTGACCTAATACGGATCCTGCTTATCATTATGACATTTGCTGGTCAGAGGCACCCGCCCGCTGGGGATGAGGGGAGGAGGCTCCGGCTGGCCACCGGTCAGCGGAGGGGGAATCTTGTCGCTGCTTTTTCTCCCTTGGGCGGTGCCCCGGGGGTGCGGGGGGGGGGATCGCCGGGGGCGCCGGGGACCGCGCGTCCTGGACCCGAGGCATCCAGCGGCGTCCTGCAGGCGCCCTCCGCGGCCGCAACGCGCGCGCGCGCACACAAGGCCCAAGAACCATTGCCCGCTGGCGCACCTGGGAGACGGGTGCTCGGCCCCGGCAGGGCGCACGAAAGCCGGCGGCCGAGCGGAGCAGCCGAAGGAAAATGCACAAGACCCCGTGCGCATTGTGGCACTTGCCCGGGGCGGAGCAAGGCGAACAGGGCTGATCGCGCCGCTGCCCCGCCCCTCCGTGGACGGCCGAGCATGAGCCCAAGGGCCCAGCCCGGGGCAGGGACGCGACAGAACTGCTGTGACCCGTATCTCCGGCCCGCGTGTAAGGGCACACTTCCCCCCGGCTCCCCGGATGAGCACCGCCGAGGCGGTACGCGGTCAGAGATATCCCACAGACCCACGCCCACAGGCATGGTGCAGGTGAGCCCGCGTGCCCGGGGGACGCCTCCCCCAGCGGCGACGGTGGCGGCACTTGGAGGGGGGGGGGGAGCCTAAGGCAATGAGCCTGGCAAGTCCTTGCTGATGGTGGCCGAGGGACGTGACAAAGAGCACTCCCCCGTCCACCCCCCCCCTCCCCCGGTCGTCCTCTGCCCGGGGGTGTGTCGGCGTGGGATTAATCTGCGTCTTTGGACCAAGGTTGGCCCCCCCCCCCCCCTGCCAGGCCGCCCATTTTCTCTATCGCGATGACCAGCAACGGCTCTCGTGCGCGCCCGGCACACCGGCGTCCCCCCCCCGCCCCTGGCCGACGGCGTCCGGTCCTCACCCTGGGGGGGAGGGGGCGTGGAGGGGAAGCCGGCGGGTGGGCGAAAGGGCGCCCAGGCGCGATAGTTGGCATTCGCCGATGAACTTCGTCACAACCGCTTGCGTGCCCGCATACAGCCCTCCCCCGGCCCCGGAAGGGGCGGAACGGCCCCCCCCCCCCCCC